CTCGCACTCCAGTCTGGGTGACAGAGTGAGACTCCAACTAAAAAAAAAAAAAAAAAAAATTGTAAATGCAGTTTCTCTACTCTAATCTCAAGACTCAAGTTCAGATTGTATTTTTCCAAGTTTCTCAGCTGGATCCTGGTACAGGTGGGATACTGGCCCCTCTGACCAGGCAATTCTCTTCCTTTCCAGACGTGGACCCTGGCCTGCTCCTGGCCACACTGCCAGGGAGGGATGGACTAGAGCCAGGACTTTAGATTTCAGTTTCTGTGTAGAGTTTTGCTTTTGAAAAGATGGCCCCATGGACCCAAGACATTGTCTTTAAAGACAGTAAGTAGATCTTGAGGAGGAGGGCGTATGACAAAATAGTTTCCAGTTTCTAGAAATTTTCACTATCACGTCGCACATTTTTATAACCTGATTTTAAAGTATGGAATAAAGGAGAATATTTCATCTGGATTTCTGTGGTAGAATGACAAATCTCTCTCCTGGATTGAGACATGTTCCATAGCAAGGAGCGCACCATTGGAATCACCTGCAATCCTATGTCAGGAAGCGCTGAACTGCCCAATGCCATGGCATAGGGCCTGAGGGGAGTTTAGAAGTGTGCAAATGTCCACTTACATGGAGCTACATAGAAGAAATTGTACATGAACAGGCATGCGTAAGTTTCCCTTAAAAAGTAGAAGGTCTAAAATGAATTACACCACATGTACACAAGAAGATGTGGCTTTCTCCAAGATTCCACCTTGAACCTTGTTCTGAAAGACAGACATCACTAGGTTGTGTTACCCCGATCATGTCACTTTCTACATTCTCACATAAGTATGCAGGGTGGCGAGGTCACACACGTGGCAAGCTGACATTCAAGATTTTTAATAAGGGAAGGTCACTGGACAGGCACTGGGTTACAGCTTGAGCTTGTGCCTGCATCAGAAAGGATGATGAAGACGGGGCAGCTGCTCTTGTGTCGTCTACCTTTTCTTCCTCTGTCCCAGACAGGCTGAAGGAAAAAACCCAGAAGCACATTTCCTTTAGTGAAGAATCAACCTTCCTGTTTTAAAATGAAGGTGTTTTGGATGATTCAAAAGAGAGTATTTTGTTTAAGGGGAGAGAAACACACACATTTGCTCCCATCAGAACCAGCAGAAACATTTCTTCCTTCAGTCTGCGTGCTGCACGCACAGGCTGATTTCCCGACAGCCCACTTACTGGAGCCACAGGCAGAGGCCTTGCTGGAAGCAGGAAAGGCATCCATGAGCTCCAGGCACCCCAAGCTCCCAGCATGACTGGCCCACTATTCTTTTGCCCCCTCTCCCTTCCCACACAAAACCCTCCAATGTGGGAATCCGGTGCCAGGACAGTGTGGGCAACCGGCCAGCCCACGCTTGCGCACTGTACCCCTGCTCTGTCTGCACGTCTTGCCTCCCCATGCTGGACAGGAAACAGCTGGGCAGAGAGGGCAGCTGCAGTGGACACACATGCACCTGGTTCCTGACACATTTCTTCCTGGAGCGCTTCTCACCCAGGCCTTGGGAGGTGCCATGAGAGCTTAGGAGCAAGACCTGGTCCCTCCCTCGCCTCGTGCCTGCTAGGCTCCCCCAGGAATCTGGGCAGGGGCAGCAGATCAGGGCCTAGGCCACTAGTGCCTGTTTCTACCCAGATCGTGGCACCAGGCAAAAGGAAAGTGGAATAAGCTCTCCTCTCAGGTTTTAGCTTGGTTAGGCATAAAAAGTAATGGCAATGCAGATGCCACAGCCAGTGTTCTTTTTTTTTTTTTGAGTTGGAGTCTCACTGTTGCCCAGACTGTAGTGGGGTGGCTCAGGTGATCCTTCTGCCTCAGTCTTCCAAGTAGTTGGAACTACAGGCACGCGTCACCACACCCAGCTAATTTTTTGATCTACTGTAGAGATGAAAACTTGCCAAGTTGCCCAGGCTGGTCTCAAACCTGTGAGCTCAGGCAATCCTCTCACCTTGGCCTCCCAAAGTGCTGGAATTATCGGTGTGAGCCACTGCGCCCGGCCCACAGTGAGTGTTCTTATTACCACAAGCTACCTAGGCACAAATGCTTTACGTAAACAGGAGGAGAAAGGCAGAGCACCACAAAACACAGAGGACACAACCATGAGTGAGCTAAGTTGAAGTATTTAAACAGGAAGGAGATTTCCTCCAGTTTGAATTTAAATATCCCTACCAAGTTTAAAGTTAGGGTCATCTCAACTGTACTTTAAAACACAACAGATGCTATTAAAGAAGGTCTTTATTGTTTCTTTCTCTGCCAGAATGGTTATTAAACTCATCTCAGCAGTGTGTCTCCCTATTGGAACTTCCACCATTTATTTGTGATTCTTGGGCATTTTGCACGGTTGGAGGCTTCAACCCTTTCTAGGGAGGACCATGCACAGGACAGGAATCAAATTAAGTTTCACGTGGGGTCGGCCTTGTCTTGATAGGCTGTCTAACGGGCCATGCGGAAGCTACTGTTGATCCCCAAGTGCCCAGGGCCAGTGCCACAGAGCTCGCTAGTGAGGGCTGGGGAATGGCAGGGAGGGAACACAAATCAACCCAGGGCAAACCAGAACCAGTCACTGAGTCTGCTCTCTGCAATCCATGGGCTGAGGTGGGACTACGGTTCGGCACACATTAGAGGCTGAACAAGGTATCATGCAATCTGGCATGCAGCCCACCAGACAGTCATTTGCAAAGGATCCTCAATTCCCACAGCATCAGTTCACTGAAAGGGACAGGTTTAAAATCCTTTACAATTTAAACTCTAGAAGAATTCAGTCATTTCCTCAGAGAACTAGCATGTGGAGAAACTGAGATGTCAACATGAAATTACCTGCTTGGTAGAACTGTACAATCCCAGAGTCTTCTGGACTTACTGCAGTGACATGTTCTCACACAAAACAGCAAATCGGAAATGGGCTTTTGAATATCCTCCTTGGTTTGGAAAATCTAAATCACTTAAGATGACTAAGGACACAGCCTTAGGCTGGGACTGGAAGCTGAGCACACACCTCGCGTGGGCCTGCTCCCGCCTCAGCCATCCCAGGAAAGCACTCGTCCTCTCGCGAGCGGCAGAAGGAGGAGTCTGAAGCAGGGGCTGTTGGGTGGGCAAGGAGGGGCTGGCTGGTCCAAGCAGCTACACCAGGTTGATTCTGGGGCTGAGCACCTGGGCTAGCCACGGGTGGGTGCGTGTGACATCTCGACAGCGGGCAGGACATAGTAAAGAGCACTGCCTTTCTGCAAACTGACTGCATCTCTCACCGAATCTTCTTTGAGAGCACCTGTCACTCACGCCTCCAGCAGGAGAATGACACATGCTAGACTTGCTGCTGCCCAAAGTTTCTGTCAGCCTGGTCGGGTGCTCCACTGCAGACCCACCCATGCTTGCGCTGACATCTCTGCATTCGTGAAGTTGTCCCTTCACGGACCTCTGCTGGCCGCATGCACCTCTTGCAGCTAGTCTAGGACAAAGAGAAGCAAAACCTCTTTCTCCAGGTCAATATACGAGGGGTTGACTTTGGTTCCACCTTGTTCTCTGCTAGTAATCTGATTCTTGCTACCCCATACTTGGTTCAATCCCTATTCCTCTCTGTCAGCATCCCAGGGTGACAGGTTTGTGTAGTGGAGGGGATACATGAAATGTAGTCCTTGATGTCGGTCCGCTGGGGAGTGAGAAAGGACAAAGGTAGGTGTGGCCTGGTATAAGACGGAAGGGTTGAGGCACAGAGAGATCAAAGACCAGAGAATAGTCACAAAGAAAACAAATGATAACCTTTTATTCCAGACCCTTTGCTAGGTGGCTTTTTGGTTTCAAAACCTATCTTCCACAGCTGGGTGTGGTGGTCATGCCCAAAGCCCCAGCTACTAGGGAACCTGAGGTGGGAGGATCTCTTGAGGCCAGGAGTTTGAAACCGGTCTGGGCAACATAGCCAGACCTCAGCTCTACCAAAAAATAAAAATAAAAATAAGTAAATAAATAAATAAATAAGCCAGGTGTGGTGGAGCACACCTATAGTGCTAGCTACTAAGGAGGCTGAGGGAGAAGGATCATTTGAGCCCAGGAGTTGGAGGCTGCAGTGAGCTAATATCATACCACTGGATTCCAGCCTGGGTGACAGAGCACGACCCTGTCTCTAAAAAGAAAACAAAACAAAACACCCAAAACTTTATCTACCCATGCATGAACTGTTATAGTTTCTACACTCAGTGAGGTTAACTCTAAAATTCTAAAATGGGCTTGAAAATAGGGCCTGTCAATGAAATGAGAGGATTCTAAAATCTAGTTTACTCACTTCACCATAACAAATTATAAATACAAACTTTAAAATTGTAATATACTAAAAATAACAAACTACTCCAAAGGTCAGGTCTTCATCTCAGTTACTTAATACATACCAAATTTAGCACTTAATTTCCACTGAACAGAAATGCTAACCAAACAACATGTTTGAACAGAGAACTTTTAAAAATGCTTTTAAAATAATATATAACTCCCTCAAAGAAACGCTCTTTTGAACTCAGGCTTTGCTA